TTTTCCTCCCTGTACAGTTGGCTTATAGTCTTTCTTATTGATTCTAAACAGGCTATTGTCATTGGCATTTGATAGTAAGTGTTTGCTGAAGTACTGTAAGACACTTATTGCTTGAAAATAACATCCTGAGCGGTGGTCCAGACTGAATCCACAGTCTCATTTTGAAGCACCACGTGCCTGTGATAGGGACTTCCTCAACCCAAGCAGTTGTCCTGTCCTTTATTCCACACTATGTTCTCAGAGTCCAGGCCCAGCCCTGGCTGAACCCACTGCTACTGACACAAACCTTCACGTAAGGGAACTTCATGCAGTTGTAGGGATTTGGAAATAACGTGCTGTCCAACAAACAGACATGGGTTTCCTGCTCCTCATGCTCTCCAGTCAATACTATTGAACACTGTTTAGTATTTGATTGTTTCTTTGTTTCAAGCTGAGTTGCCTTTTTGGGAGGAGGAGTTGTATGAGCAGCCAAGATCTGATGGGACATTAACCTCCCACCGAGATTCATGGGGTTTGTCATTAATCAAATGTAACCATACTGAGAGGATCTGATTTGATTTTGTTTTGCCAGTGTCCACTTGTACTACCTGTTTCCCACCCTGGAGGAAGGAGGACTAGCTACGTATCGAACTGCCATCGTGCAGAACCAACATCTGGCCATGTTGGCCAAGGTATGGTCCTCTCCTTTATGGCTAGGTGTGTTTGAAAGTCAAAGGGAAGATGCTCTTATATTTGGGATGCTTCCCAAATGGATCATCTGCTTTGAACATCGGTGTCTTCACCATGTTTTGTGAGCTGGATTTGGGATACAGGAACTCTCTTCAATCTGACAGTAGATTTAAAGATGAAGTAGGACATAGTGTTTTCTGCCAAGCATTTTATTAAGAGCAGTGATTTTTGCCAGCAGAAGGATAGGTTTTTAGGATGGTGTCTTGAAAGCAAATCTATGTTTTACTTTAAATGGCAGGGATAATGAAGTTCATAGTGGAAAACAATGGGGAAGGGAGGGGAGGAAGATGTTTAGCAAAGGACTTTCCAGACAAGGTACATATAAAGAAAAAAGTGGAATGTGGTAGAAAGTGAAAAAACTCATTTTGTCGACTCTGACCTGAAAAGACATTTTCAGATTTGCTGTGATCTGTCAAAAAGCAATATGTTAGAAAGGCTTTTGATGAAAAATAGGCTTATGGAATTGGGAGATTTGGAATTTTATTTATCCCTTGGAATTTTATTTAATTTAGTGAATAACATGGACTGCTTATGTGACACTGAGCAAATATGATGCAGAAGTTTGAGTTAATCTATTTTCATAGATGATTTGGTATTCTATTCAAATTTAATTTTTGTTAACCTTTGATTTAAAAAAGGGAAGCCTAAGAATTACTACTGTAGTGTGTTAGGCTGTGCACACATGATCACATACACATACTGATGGTTTACAAGTGCTCTTTTCATCTTCTTTGGCTACATTCACACAATAATTAAAAAAAAAATTAAAAAAAAAAAAGACATTCAGTGTTGAGATTTTGCCAAAAACTTTATTATTTCTCATTTTTTTGCTCTGCTAAGTTCTCAAAAAAGCTATAGGAGTCTAGGCAGTGAACACAGTAATTTTCATTTTCATTCGGAGCTTTCTTTAATGGTGTACATGGATGTGATTGAAGAACATTCCAATCGGAGCTTTGTTTATAGATGTAATATTAAACTACCCGACACTTCAATTTGCTCCATCATTTTATAACACGCATCAGGCAAGTCCATGCACTCCGACGGCTGTTAGCAGCCTTTATCATTGTAAATGGGCAATTTTTGATAAGTCGCAGTGCAGTGTGTTTTAAATGTATTTATATTAGATACAGCTGTAAATATTGGAGTTCTCTCCTCGGCTGATTTCCCAAGGTATCCTCTGCCTGTATTGTGTATCCAAAGTGACCTTCCTGCTTTCACCCCGTTATCGTGCGGAGTGTCGTGTTGCATTTGGTTTGCTTCCTCAGTCCAGTTCTCAGCTCCTCGGCTTCTCCCGTGCCTATGGAATGCTGCTTTAATTGAGGATCAAGTGATAGGCTTCTCAGAGCTTTAAAGCAGAAGTTTAAAATATAATCTGAAACCTGATTCGATCAAATAGGAGTTGTGAAATGTATGCGAAATACTTTGGATGCAAGCTCCTGCACTGGGCTAAATCATTGAGAGAAGAAAAGTAAAGAACAGCTAACGTGAAGAAGTGACAATAATCTGTAAAAAGTTTCAATTAGCATACACCACCATTTTTGACTTTTTGACTCACCACAATTAATGACTCTCAGAGGTTGCTCCCTGAGCTGTGTGAAGGACCATACCACATGGTAAGTGGCAATTCACTGTGTTCTGAGCAGTGGATAGACTCTCATTCATTAAAAATTGAAGGCTTTTTTTTCCCTTTTCAAATTGAAAGGCATATAAAACACACATTTGAAACACCTTAGCTGCTTTGCTTTTACTTCTTACATATACTGTAGGAGGATGAAGTTGAAAGTTAACAGAAAATTAATGAATAGAAATGTATACTCATTTGGGAAGAACCTGTTCTCATACAAATTTTGTAAGGTGCAAAAATCTCTCTTCTTATAAAAATCCTATTAATGGGTTTGTGTCAGAAAGATAAATACACCACGAACCTGGTATCTCTTGCAGGCATTTCTATAGCAGAGTTATCATATATTATATTAACATATCTGACTAGCTACCTGCGATGCTGACTGGCAAGCAGAATTGCGGCTCAGGAAACAGATGAATGTTAATGAATGTGTGAAGGAAAAAAAAACAAAGGAAAAAAGAAAGCTAGGTGGCACTGTGGCTTAAAACATCAGTCTCTGCTCTTGGACCTGGAGGCTGTTGTTTCTGCCACCTGTTGATAGCCTGAAAGGGAAGAGATGGATGTTTTTTGGATTTGGCCCAGCAACATTCCCATTTCTCACCATTTTACCTTATTCTCTTCTTGTGGATGCAGTTCTTCCCCTTTGAGGGTCCTGTTAGCATTCTGAAAGGGAAACCACGAGGGCAAACCGTCCATACAAAATACCGTGTGCTGCACAGTTTCTCCGTTGTCGCCTCAGCTTTGCTCTTGATTCCTAAATTAACAACTTAGCTTAATAGTTTTTAGCTTTTCCACAAAATCCCACTCCAGTTGCTTTCCTCTAGTAAGCCACTGCAAAGTGTTGTTAGCTTTAAAGCCTCTTCCTGCACCGAAACTGCGCAGAGCCCAGTGCTCAGGCTCCCTGGGGCCCTGCGGCTGCCGAGTCCCCATGCAGCCCATCCCAGCGGCTGCAGCTGGACCTCGTGCCCCTCTGTAACCTGCCTGTGGATCTCCGCGTGTCTTCTGCAGAAGCTGGAGCTGGATCGGTTTATGCTTTACGCCCATGGCCCGGACCTGTGCCGGGAGTCGGACCTGCGCCACGCCATGGCCAACTGCTTTGAAGCCCTCATAGGTAACGCGCGTGGGTCTGGGCGGGCGGGTGGGCGTTGTGGTGCCGTGCCCGTGCTGAGCACGGCCCCAGTGCAGCAGGCGCAGGCCTCTTGGGTGGTGTTACAGGGGTAGCAAAGCTTCTTGAGTTGCCCTTGCCCCTTCCCATCTACATACATCATTTCATATCGTCATGGGTAGCACGTGTGGCATGACGGATGCACAGTATTCAAGTGGAATCCCAGCTTTTCTCTCCTGATTCAGCTGTCCCCCTGATGTGCCCGTTTCATGGTGTAATAGCACCGCACTTCCCAGTGTCACCTGTGTCACTGCCCGTCTCGTGTCACTGTGCCCAGCTGTGGGCGACTCTCTGAGCACGAGCAGGTCATTCACCGTGGTCTGGCAACAAATGTGGAGGCTCCCTGCTTCCAGTAATTAGGACTTACAAAAGTGTCTGCAAAATACGGCGTCCCACGCTAGCCCTGAGGCTTCAGTTCTGCAGGTCACTTCTGCATTCACCAGATAGTGCTCACTAAGCCACCAGCCAACTTTCTCTCTGCCCTGGTAACTCTCTTCCTGTGAATTAAACGTGACATTTGCTAAGTAAATATCTTAGGTTTTTGTATTTTCTCTTCCAAAGAGAAAACCTGGCAATGTGCCGTGGCTGCTCTAATAAAGCTACCAAAACGGTGGCTGAGGGTGCAGCTGAGCCCTGTGCCAAGTTAGCTGAGAGACACTGCAGTGCTCGTCAGCGACTGCGTGCCGGTCGATGCATTTATCTTGGGAGAAAGAGAAATTGGGAACGCCTGACCACATTTGTCCTAATCGATAAGCAGGAAGCGTGGGAGGGGAAATATGGCTTTAGAGCCACCCAAGTTCTATTTTATGTGCTGTATTTTTATAAATCTTTATTTGATAGAATACATGAAACAAGCTACCTCTCAGTGATTCAGCTTCATGTGCATCCAAATATGCTGTGTGTGGTATTGGCTACAGCAGTATCTTATCCCTGTTCAGGCCTTCACATACTACAGCATTTTATTCTCCTTTGAAAATACATCCCCGTTTGCTTAGATGGCAACAGTTATGTGCATTCTGCCTTGGGCCAACATTTCATCTTATCAAGAAATAAGAGTCATCTTTTTAACTCTGTTTTGCTTTCCACGAGTGCTTTGATCTTTAATTAAAAAGTAAAAAAGAAACAGAAGAGGAACGCTAGATCTGTATCTGTGACTGTGCTCGTGTGCTTCAGCCTGGCAAGGGTGTGATGATGAGGAGGACCTTGAGGCAGATGCTGAGATTTGCCAGCAGAGCAGACTTGCTGTTTAACCTCCAGTGGGAAGTTGCTCAGGAGGTTAATGGAGCACTAAGGCTTTGTCGGGTTTGCAGCTGAAAGCTGGGAGCTTCTGAAGGGACCAGGAAAGTATCTTTGGGGTCTGGAGCTCCTGCTCGGGCACCTTTGTACAAAGTTGCTTTCTCCCTGCAGTGAAAATAACTGAAAGGCCGCCTGGTACCTGCTTAAAATTCTGTGCTCTCCTAACATGCCTCTGGCAAGGTATTCCTGCAAACCCGCCAGCCATTCTCCGAAGAATCAAAAGAGTAGTTGACCTACTGAGAGAATAAGGAGGAAAGAAGAATAATAGCAAAAAGAGAGAGAAAAGAGAAGCGCAGCAAGGCAGAGCATGTTCTCCCTATATTTGGGGATATTGACTCCCTTGCTCTGTTTTCTTCGTGTAGCTGTGTATTCCCTTTGCTTTTATGCAGCTGTGCTTACAAGGGCTAGGATTAGGATTTCAGAAGCCCTTTTGTAAAGAGAATCAAAGTGTTGATACTCCTGTTTTAAAAGTGTCCGTACAAATAGAGTGGGTACAAACAGAAAAATACAACTTGCTAGCACAACTTTCCCCTGATTTGTTACTAAGGGCAATAGGAAGGGCTAGTAGTGGCTGAGTATGCAGGTTTTCGAAAAGAATATATATTATGAAATGAAGCTCACACTCAGATATAATATTATTGTAATATTGAGGAAATACTGACACATTTATATGCAGGATATCATTTCCTTGAAGAAACATAATAAATAAAAATTATTCATTGGCTGTTGAAGTTTTTCATGAGTGTTACTGTCCACATGTATAGTTAGCTGAGAAACTGCTTTTAGAAATAGATCGCTTTTAGAGTAATTTCTTTAAACGTTGCTCTTAGAGCATATCACTGATTTAATTATGTCCTTTTTTTGTGAATTTTACAACTATTGATTAATTTTCATGTATAATATGCCTTATATCTCTCAAGCTTTGAATCTTACCATAGAAGTCGTGCTTTAAAAAATATATTTATATTGCAAGTGAGGAAGGCAGAGATCTTTTACTTCTCTGTGCCTAGTGATTTTCTAAGTACTGATGCGTTTCTGCCCTTTAATGTGTTGTTCCCTTTCTATAGGAGCTGTGTATTTAGAGGGGAGCCTAGAAGAAGCCAAACAATTATTTGGACGTTTGCTCTTTAATGACAAGGTATTTATATAATTTTTTACTTGACTTCCATTTTAAGATATTTTGCTTAAGCATCATAACTGAGCAAGAAAACACTTAGTTCCTAGAAATTTAACATAGCAAGGCACGTTTAGGACAGCAAACTACGCTAGTTCAGGAGGAAAAAAATATCTTTTCTCCTCAGGGTTGCTTTCTGTTGGTTGCTGAGGTAGGGAAGGGCCCATAGGTGTGGGAAACCTGCAGGCTTTCATCAAAGTGCCTCTGTAAGAGCAAAGTGTGCGCTGTGGACCCGTGTGCTTTGCAGAAATGGAGCACTACTTCTCTTTCACTGCTCAAATACCCCCAAACTTACACTAAACACGTTTTCTAAAGCTAAATACATATCTTGGACAGCGGGGAGGGTTCATCCAGTGTTTACCCAACTGCAAAGTTGAAATCTGGTCCATATTTTTTCAGATTATATTTTAGATCACTGACATCCCAGGTGATAGTTAGGGACAATGAAGGGAGAAGTGTGCAGATACTGATGGATTTGTAAGTTTTGCAAATAGTATGCTGAACCTAGCAGCTATAATGCATACCTCCGTTTGCTTAGTTGGCCACACTCACTTTTTATTACTTGTCCCTGTCATCTTTCATTGTGTTATGACACATCATTTCTACCTGCGACAGAACAAAAGCCCTTCAGGTCAGGGAACAAGTTTTGCCATCTCAAAAGCAACCAGTATGTAATGCTGAAGCGATGCGTGTGACACCTCTGAAGGATGAATTATATCCCCTCTTCCTTCTTTACAGCCTGTGAGTCTGTGGAAGGACAAGGTTTATTAGAAATAAAAGTATTTTGTAGCATATTATAACTTAATATTTACTTGCAACCTGTATTGAAGGAAGACTATATGAAATAACAGAATAAATAAAAAAAATAAAGATTTTTTTTTTCCCCCCAGTCTTGAGTTTTGGTCAAATGAAACTTGCTATTGAGGAGAAGCAGGGAATAGAGTTAGACCTGTGCTTTAAACAAATCTTTTTTCTTCTTGTTCTCTAACTAGTTTTTATTTGGTTCAAGATTTTTTTCTGCTTCCTTGACACAAGCTAATTGCGAGAACTACAGGCAGTTTGAACAGCAAATACATGATTTTCAAAATTAGTTTGCCAGCACTATTGAATTTGCAATAAGCAGAGTCAGCATCTGAAATAGTTCAGTATTTCAAGTAATGACATTTTATTTAGTACTGTGGAATTTGTTAAATGACTCCCTTGAGCATTAAAGGCATCTCTCAATGTTCACAGGACCTGCGGGATGTATGGCTTAATTATCCACTACACCCACTCCAAGTAAGTGTGTCCCTTTCTATAATAAATTTCATAGCTCTGTTTTATTTCCATGGATGCTTTTCCATAGGTTTTTGCTATAGTGACATCTCAACATCTCAGAAAATTTACTAACAAGTAGCAAGAGGAATGAATATATTTGCCTTTATGATTTTTTTTATATATATAAATAATGATTCTTTGCCTGTCTGAGAATTAATCATTCACCTTTCCTTGGCTTGTGTTTGATATATGATTGTGTTTCTCATGCAATAAATCTAGGGAGAGGTAACATTTTGGCTTCTTTCCCTGCATCTGCTGTAAGTTGGTACAAAGAGGGCACAAAAATGGTCTTGGGTCCCTATTTGTTGACCTGTAAACAAGACCTATATGTTAATTATAGGGAGGCACATTACTTAAATGACTTAAGAGGGTAATGCTAAATATTTACCTGATTACAGCATGGTGGTTTCATTGATTCCAGTAGCTTTAATTGCAGGCAGAAGCTGAAAATGCGGACGTGTCTGAAAGGTAACTTACCCTCCATCTGTTCGCAAAAACACAGGCGGTCCATAATAGGTTAGGTTCTGATCCTGGAAGTGGTCGGAGCTGATTCCAGGTCTTTGCTTAATGACTGGATTGTGGTAGAGACTCTGAGCCCGTCGGAGCCTCCCTGTGCTGCAGTTGCCCACATTTACACCAAGGGTAGTGGCATCCCACAAGGGTGCAGGTCTGCTGCCGAGGGCACTGTGTGCCAGTGGTGATGCAGTCCCTTAGAAAGGCTTCAGCATCACATAAACACCTAGGAGAGAAGTGGTCCTCTTGCTGCCTCCCTTATCCAGCCAAATCTCTGGTGTCTGACCGTATATCTGGTGCGGAGTCAGTCTGACTCCATTAAAACTTCTTTTTGTGAGTGCCCCTTTGCAGTAGAGGGTCTCTTAGAGACCGTCAGCTGAAACATTTCAGATATTTGGTGCAGATTTTACATGGATCTGCGGACAAAACCTTAGTGACAGATCAGCACCCCTGGAGCACTTGTGTAATCAACTCTGTGTCACTGTAAGACAGGAGTAAGCGGAAAAGATTCTTAATAAAAATAGAAGTGAACTTTCCAGACTTGGTGACAGTTCTCATGAGTGGTGGTACAAGCACACAAGAAAACTTCTGGATTTCATTCTTTTTATTTTAACCTCTTTCTGTCTACTTTCATGAAGAAGGATTGGACTGTGCTTGGATTGGAGGCAGGCAGTATATGAAGCCTATCATTTCTTGTTACTACTTTAATTTTTTGTGGGATGAAAATGTATTTTCCTCCGTGGTCCAGACGTGCCCTCCTAGCTCTCTGCTTGCCAGCAGGGCAAGCACAAGCTGCCCAGTTTTGCCATCAGAAAGTGCTAACCTAAAAAAAAAAAAAAAAAAAAAAAAAGGCATTTTTAAAATTATTGAATGTGACTAACAATGTGGCAAATGAAATGCCTGTTAAGGAGTGTAGCTCTGGGTGGGCACCTGGATACATGTGATTTCTGGGAAACCATCACATGACTTTTGGAAAGGCGAGTGCTGCCCTACAGACTGATAGGAGATCTTAGAGGAGACCAAAAATAAAATGTGGTGAGGTGAGGCAGATACTTTTGTCTGTTGCATTTCCTAAAAGGCTTTTGATAAGCCAGGCACCAAGGACTTGAGGAAAATAAATAAATAAAATTCCAATGAGGAGTGACCTTGCATAGGTTTAAAGGAATGGCTGAAACACCCAAAACAGAGGACAGGACTGAGAAGACCGTTTCTTATAACAGGTTTCCCAAGGGAAGCAGGTTCTGTTCTCAACAGTAACTTAGAATTTAGGAAGGGAGATGAGGATTGTCGTGGCAGCACCTTGACAATACCAAATCATCCAGGCTCACAGGGACAACAGCAAGATGAAGAATTGTGACCCTGGCTACGAGACAGTGGCTGGATAGGCAGCACATGAAACCAGGTGGAATTTCATGTGGGTAAATGTAAGGGGCTGCACGTGGAGAAGTGAAAAATACCCCTGGCTTCACAGGCAGGGGACCTGTGAGCTGAACATTAACGCTTGAGGGTGGCACCACGTGGACACTGGGATGGGTGTCTGGATGCCAGCTGAAGGCTCTTCCTTTAAAGAAAAAGACAAATTAAACGTTACTAGTTGTTAGAAAAGGGATAGAGGACAAAACAGAAAATATCCTAATGTAACTTTGTAAAAAGCTGTGGCTTACACACACCTGGAAGATCACGTGCTGTTCTGCCCCACCTTTTCAAAAGTAAAACAAAAAAGATAGATGAGCAGAAGGGGAAAAAAAAGGCATTAACCCCAATCAAAGATGAGGAACAGTTTATTTTTGAAGAAAGGCCAGTAGATGAATGACCTAGGAAGGAAGTGTTAGAGAGGGAGGCCTGGAATAGAGGTCTTCAAAACATGAGTGAATGAACAGTGAGACAATTCCTCACCGTCTCTGCCAGTGCAAGTAATAGGAGGCATTGAGGAGAAACTAGAGAATTCCAAGTTCAAAAGAAGCAAGAAAGTCCCTCCTTTTTTTTTTTTTTTTTTTTTTTTTTTTTTTTTTTTTTTTTTTTTTTTTTTTTTTATTTGGAGGTACTGCAGGCTTTTGTCTGGACATGAGGAACAAGGTTGTGGAGGAAGTCATTGCCTTCTACAACCCCTTGAGGGTTACTAAGTACATTTAACTGCATCAAAGTCAAGAAATCCTGAGCTGACAGTAGTTGGAGATGCCCAGGAACATCCTTAATATGTTGGACTGTCTTTTCCTTTAGGCATTTGCATGTTGGTGATCCCTTCTTTGAGGCATTGCTATATGGGAGAGAGGCACTGAGTGGCTGAAGGAAATGCCCGAGTCATTTCCCAGCTCTGGAAAGCCATGGGATAGAGTCAAGAGTGTGTCAGACAAGTAACTGCAAAGAACAGATACAGTGTACAGTGTATTCAGGGCTGGAAGGGCTTCTGGTCTGAATTAGATCAAACTTGAAATTTTTTCCAGTTATTGTGCCCTTTTCAATTTTCTTCATTATTAGTATCTTTTTGATACTGTAGGAAAGAGGGAGAATTGCGGGGGGAACTGTGATATTTTTTAATCTATTTCCATCTTGATGCTTTGTTGATTTGACTGTTTCTGAGTCTGTTGCTCAATTTCAAGCTGTCTGATAACATTAAAGATCTCAAAGATGCGTAAAATTTTACATATTTTGTGAAAATAAATATCCCATGCTATCCATATGCAGAGAGAGGACCATATAAGCAACACGTTATGAACACCCCAACTGTTAAAGAAAGCTTTTGTTAGTGCTTGCATTTTTTTGACAGGTGGTAATTATCCAAGACAGGAAGCCACTGCAAACTTCTCTCAGTTCAACTGTTCACAGAACAACTTGTTCACTGTATTCTTTGTCCTCAGGTTACGAAATGTTTGCTTTTCTCTTAAAAATTTTGGAAATTAGTAGTTATCTCTTTGTCATTATTTGCACTCATTTACAGCTGCAAGAGTCCAATACTGACAGGCAGCTCATTGAGACCTCTCCAGTTCTCCAGAAGCTCACGGAGTTTGAGGAGGCAATTGGAGTCATTTTCACTCATGTTCGGCTACTAGCACGGGCCTTCACCCTCAGGACTGTGGGTTTTAACCATCTGACTCTGTGAGTATAAAGCAGCAATTACCTTTCTGCAGCTCTGTTGGTCCTTCAGTTAATACCACAAATCGTTTTGCATAAAAAAAAATAAGTAAACAAACAAACATTTGGGCTGTTATCAGTGTTCTCCAGAAAAGCTGAGAACAGCTCTGTCTGCAAACCCACCTGGCTCAGTATCCTGTCCACTGTAGTCCGTGGTGGATACTTTGAGAAGGTGTTTAAAGGATGTTATAAAGTCATTCTGGTGGATCTCTTGAGCTGCTTGCTTCAGGCCCTCAGGGCTTCATCCTTGACCCTGTAGTGAAGCATATTTGAGGAGAGGAAGGAAGTCATGTTCTTCAGCTCCTGCTTTCTGTGGTTTGTGCAGCACTGAACCCAGCAGGCTTTTGGTTCCTAACAATGTCTGTTAGGTCCCATTTTAAAGCAGATGGTACTCTGGTACCAATGGATAACCCACTCCAGGATCTCATGTGGGTTTAAACCCTGATCTTTTTACTTCTAAAGTAGACAGCCTTTTTTCTTCACTGAAGTCTTGGTATTCATTAGTTCACTTGCTTATAAGGAGTTGCAGCGACCATAAGCCATTATAAACTTAATGTCAACTTACTCTCTTTCAATTAGTCCCACATCTGTGATCCAATAATTGTGTTTAGCTTCTCTGATCTGCTTTTTCTTGAAAATCAGTGTTGCAACAGTAGTGAACTGTGTTTTCATCTCATTTGGTTAACAGTAGAAAATTATCTCAAATGTGTTTAAAAATGAGCAAGGCTCACTTTCAGATCACTCTTTATTTTAATTTGCATGTGCATGCTGGTTTTGTTTTTCCCTTCCTGAGTGCTTATTGATTTTGCTGCATTGATGTCTCATTTTTCAGAGGCCACAATCAGAGGATGGAATTCCTGGGTGACTCCATAATGCAGTTGGTAGCCACAGAGTATTTATTCATACATTTCCCTGATCATCACGAAGGGCATTTAACGGTGAGACTGCCATCAATCATGCTCTCTAGGAGAAGAGGTGTGGGATGAAACTGAAATCATGGAAGAAGCTAGTGAATTATTCTGGATTTGATTAATAAAAGAAGCCTCAGCAACCTCTGCTCTTAATAAGGCTCTGTTAATTTTAAGACATGAGTCCTACAATGAGTAGGAAATGGTGATTTATGAGGCTGGTGCAGTGATTTTTGTTCCATCTGTGGAATGGATCTATAGTTATAATGAGGCCAGTGGTGAACTTGAGAGATAAGACTAGTCCTTGTTTAAAGACAAATGTTTAAAACCACTTATTTAAATAAGGACTTCTTTTTTTTTTTTTTTTTTTTTTTTTTTTATCCATAGCTATTAGTCTGTAGCACCAGCAGGAGTTTTCTTTCCTAATAAGATGGATAATTGATGGATTACATTTTTGTAATCTGTGGTCATAAATTGTTGGTTCCAGTAGCCTTTCAGCATCTCTTCTCCAGTCTCTGAACAACCCCATTTGTGGATGCTTCAGCAGTTTAGTATTTTAAGTATAGAGTGATGCTACCTGTAATTTTTTTTCCAGAGGGGATTGATTACTTTAAGTAGACGGTTTGGGGTTAATTTGTGAAGAATTTTCTTAGGTTTGTTGTATTTTCTTAGTTTTAAAATCTTGATTAGAGTGAAGAAAAGTATAGAAGTATCAGGAATATAAATCAAGTCCCTTAGTTAAAGTTAGGAAGCAGTTTTTTTATACTTCTTATCTCCTGGGAGTGATTTTTCTCAAAGCAATGAAGTGAGGGTGATACAGAGTCCCTAACATTCTGTGTTTTCAGGAAAATGATTCTTAGGTGTCGGAGGCTAAATCTGTTTACAAGAAACAAACATTACCTGTTCTGAATAAGTAACATGAATTTTTCTTTGCTAGTTTTTAAATTCCATTATGTTTGTATGTATTCCTCTGCAGCATTCAGGAGACAGACTCAGAGCCTAAATTTTTAAAGTTGAAATGGAAGGCGGGGAGGGGGGTGATGGAGACTTCTCATATCACTTTCTGCTCACGGAGAAACAAAAACATGAGCCAGAAATCCAAGATTGCCTTTTTTTTGTTTTGCAGGTGACTATTAAAAATGTAATCATCAGTGTTGTTATAGTGTGGTGAATTTTTCAAGAATAATTTGGCAGGAAGGGTATAAAGTGTTGGTATTAATGGCTTTAAATACTCAGAACAATGATCAGAACATCTTTGGGCTGTGTAATTTAATGATAAATGACTTGGCAAGGTGAACGAGTTGCATGTTGTCCAAGTTTGCAGGCAAAGCCATGAGGTTTGGACGCAGAATATGCAATGAGGATATGTAAAAAATCAGAGAGGTAGGCAAATGCCTAGAATAAAAATTAAATTCTAGGGATGCACGTGCAGTGAAAACCAGAATCATCTCTGCATGTTTTTACACTTTGAGGATGAATGAGGTGAAGCATGTGAGGGAGATGAAGACTGATGATGTAGGGCCTGAAGAGAAGCAAAAAACATTGAGCTCTCTGGCCTTCTATCTAGGGACATGCTTATATTTGAAGTAGTAATAGAGCATCAGCTGAATTGTGTGTGTAGCACTGAGGACAATTTTGGTCAAGGATGAGAAAATTTCACTTGACTTGTATTTTGCAGTTAGCTTCCCAGTGTCAAGTGATTAGTGATTCTTTTTTCTTTTGTGAGATGTCTGGAAATTAAACTATGCTAAAGAAAAAGAAAGAAGTGACAACTTCCATGTGCCTATTTTGAGCTAGCCAAATCATCTGGCAGAAAAATAAAGTGGAATTTGGTTGGTTCTTGATAGATGGCAGATACATCTTTCCCAATTTTGGCTTATGCTTCAGTCATGGGTAGCAGTGAGGGACCTGGAAGAATAGAAGTAATTCTTTAAAAGCTGGATTTAGCCTCACTTGAGCTTATGTCCTGAGTTACAGCATCTGTAATGGTGCGGGCTGGGTATTGCCAGCATGGAGACGAGCTCCCCAGAAAATGTTGGGAAGGGACAGATATCCTGTCCTCTTCATAACTGTTAATGGAAAGGGGGCTTTCTGATGGATCCCATTTGAAGAAGAGGCAAGTTACAATGTGGAAGAGGCTGCGAACCAGGGTATTAGATGGTTATTGTGGTTCTTTCCACCCCAATTCAGTGTCAATGTGCGTGGTACTATTTACTAATTTTACTGTTGTACTAATTATGACTAAGGGTTCTATCATAATAGACACTTGTCAAATGTGACAAACGGAGATGCTCCTTCTCCCTTTGCAGGAAACTGCTTTTTGTCATATGGGACTACAATTTTGTCTCCTAAGTTGTGTATTGTAGTCAAGATTTGTTTGGGGAATGTGTTCATTGTTCATCTTAAGGACACAGAAATGAAGGATTTTGGAAAACAATAAGTAGGAAGATGATTTTGAGCAGGAGTTAAGAAGGCAGGTAATAATCCTCTTCTTTCTGCAGTCTACCTAGTTTATAAAGATCAAGATGTGAGTATCTGCTTCATATATCATTGCCAAACAAATTATGAACATACTGTTCTTTATTTATCTATTGTCAGAGATGAAGTATCAAGTACGGGGCATAAATCTTGATTTTCATAAGCTCAGTTGACATGCTGGAGCCAGGTAGCATATAGCTTGTATCTAATGAGCAAAGCAAATGTGGCATGGAAGACAAAGAGGGAAAAATATGCACTACAAATTTGCAACTCTAGATTACATATAAGCAATGCAAAGAGAAATGTTCTTTCTCACGCCCCATCCTACCTCCCAGAATAGCCCCAAATTTTTAAATGACACCATTTAAAGAAGAAGGAGAAAAAAAAAATCACCTAATCAGGAGACTGGAAGATCGAATGAAAACCTGAAATCCCCAAATACTTCTTATAGCTGAATACTCCTTATAGCTGTATGAGAAAGGTCTTTTGACTCTGTATTTAAGCAGTCTACCTGCAACCAACCTTCAGCATCTCAGGGGACGGTGCTGGAAGTCCAGGTATCCCAGACTTTAACACACACTGAGATTTTTAGGGACACATACGTTCTTTGAGGACACATACGCTTGGCCGTACTGCCTTCAGGAGAGCAGTATAGCAGTGTATGGGGGCTATGCTCTGCCCAAGCTAGTATGTCCAGCTATGCTCTGCCCAAGTGACTGCAGCAGCTCCCTCATTTGGTGTCTCTGAAGCACTGGATTGTCTCCATTCAGAGTGTTTAATTACTGACTGTTTGTTTCTTATTTGATTGACTATGGGAGCTGCTCTGTAGGCTCTAGAATATTGTGTGCTTATGTGGAAAAATGTGTAATTTGATGTATTTTACCAGAAAATTGCAGATGAGATAAAAAGTATTGGAGCGGTGAAGAGACAGTAGTATTGGATTGCCAAGAAATTCACAAGCAGGCATTTGTAATGCAAGACTTACAGAAGGAAGGTATAGAAGAACTAAAATGTGGGAGAAGATGTGAAAGAGAAGAAATAAAATGTGGGAGAAGATGTGAAAGAGAAGAAAAAAATACTGGGAGAATGAGTGTTCATGAGTGTGCATATGTGTAAGTTGTACTGAATATGAGGCTTGAGAGAGGAGAGAGAGAGGCAGCAAGGAAAAATAACTTTTTTCAACCTTCCTTGACTTCTGGATTTTGGTGGTATTATTTTTTTTTACCATTTGGTGAAACTTCTTTCTGTTGCAGTTATTGAGAAGTTCTCTGGTGAACAACAGGACTCAAGCCAAGGTGGCCGAAGAGCTGGGCATGCAGGAATTCGCCATCACTAATGACAAGACCAAGAGGCCGGTGGCTCTGCGCACCAAGACTTTGGCCGATCTCTTGGAATGTGAGTTCCTGTGCTTAGAGCCACCTCGCACTTAGCAGCTTTCTTCAGGGCTTGTTAAGAAGGCCATTAAAAATCCCCCTAGTTATTATTGAAGATGCACGTTCAGATTTTCAACTGAATTATGCCTCTGCAGGTCAGATTTTTGAGCACTAGCCTACATTTTTGCAGACACTATAACCAAGCTTGCAGAAGGTGTCAGTGCATGTATGGTACTGCAGGGTTGTGAAGAATAGATAAAAAACTGTATCTCAGGAGTTAAAACTTGTCATCTGAGTCAAGCTGTTTATTGGCAGTTTCGATGTATATTCTTATCTATTAGAAGACCGAATATTTCCTTCAGTTGATGAATATTTCTGTGGTTGGTTTAACTGCATTCTAGGTAAAGGTTTCAAAATGGCAGCTCCAGAGGAGGGAGAGCCACATGAAAATTAAATGACTTTTTCTCTAATTTGTGAAAGTGCACTACTGTCTTTCCAAAGGAAGTGAAATAGTAATAAATATTGTGCAAAGAAAGCTAATCCCTATCCTATATATTCTGATATATTTTGTCAGCCATTCAGACCCCTTGGCTTTTGACAAATCCTCTTAGTAAATGGAAATTGCACACAAACAGGAGTGATTTATATCTAAAGCATTTTTGTGGTAGCCAGTAGTGATTTATTTCTAAGTAGCCATGGTCTGCTGGTTAAAACGTAGGATTAGGAGCAGAGTGTTGGTCCTGACTCTTCAAATGACTGAGCGAATTTGAGTAAGTCATTTAATCTCTTGGTCAACTTTGCTTTTTTTCCCCGCATATGTGGGATAATGATACCCTCATCAGATCACTGCTGTGAAACTTAATTGAATATGGTTTTAGCATACTCAAAGATACTTGTTTCTAAAATGGAAATCTATTAACATTGTTATTGAATGAGTGACAGTACTCTCTTTTTTTCCCCCCTCCTCTCAGCCTTTATTGCTGCCCTGTATATTGATAAGGATTTGGAATATGTGCACACGTTCATGAATGTGTGCTTTTTTCCACGTTTAAAGGTAAGATTCCTTTAATCTTCCTGGTAAGATTCCAGTAATATTCCTACTTATTTTAACATCATGTGCTTTTCATATATGCCATTCTGTTTTGGAGTCTTAACACAAATGCAACCATAAAAGCATCTTTGTGAACTTCTTACAGGAGTTTATTTTAAATCAAGATTGGAATGACCCTAAATCTCAGCTTCAGCAGTGCTGCTTGACTCTCAGGACAGAAGGAAAAGAGCCAGACATTCCTCTTTACAAGTAAGAGATGATGCCGAGTGGGGATGCAAGCTAGTCATCACCTTTTCTTTTGCACAAAGAAGATGTGATCAAATGCTCCACATTTTTTCCCAAATTTTGGCCTTTTTCATCCTTTCAGTACAAGCTGTTTAGTCTCTTCCTGTCTGTAAATGACAATTGTTAATCCAGTGTTTTCTGAGCTTTCTACGTTTTAAGGCATTGCAGGGGGCAATCAATAGGAATTTTACCTTTTACATACTCAGCAAAATGAAGTGTGCCCAATATTCATTGGCATCGTTTTGTCATTTTTTTTTTTCCTTCCTTTTATGTAAAATAGTAGGAATATTTTGAATGAAGTGAATAAAACAAAGGCAGTGGCTGTTCAGATATGTAGTCAAGATACCCTCAGTCTGTTTCTAGTAATACTGTGAACTTTCTTTACCTGCTGTACAACCAAAAATAATGTGGTACACCTGACTGTAGGCTTCAGTTCTAATCAGGAAAGAGACAGGCACATCTGTGGGTCCAGGCAGGGTTTGAATGTTTTCATCACCTATTTTAGACCCTATCTGTCCTCCTCAGTGGAAGGATAATTGCTCAGGACCAGAGATTTCTTGACTTAGGCACGTTAGTTAAATACTTGAGACTGGGGTGAGACAAAAATGCCTTCTTTCAATTTTATCAGTGATAAAATGAAGTAATAGTTACTTTAATGAGATAGTAACAAACTTTTAAATTCATATAAATTTAAATTTATACTGCACCCACATCTACTAGCTGAAGGAATGTACCCAGTGTTAACCTCCAGGACAAGAGAAAGGCTGTGAATGTTCAGGACTTGTGTTGGGATTGCTATATGAAATATATATAGGAGGAATTAAAATCTTCAGTGCATTTGTCACATTTACTAAATTAAAGTTTTTAATGAAATGTGGCAGCAAATTATAGTGAGAATCAGTACACTTCAGAAATAGGACCATTTTGACATGGTAACTGATGCTCTGCCCATGGGACTCTGCAATGTCTCTGAGGGTTCATTCACCCTTTTGTCTTGAGTGAGGAAGATGAATGCAAAAGAAATGACTCCTGATTCTTGTAAAACCCACTGCGTATCAAGTACCAAATATTTGTTTTGATTTGCTGTGATAAATTCATTTTCTTTTTCAGTACAGCTTAGAGTTAATCTTATGCTGTTATCTTGTTAATTTTCTCACCTTGGGGCTCTCTGTTGCACTGCACTCAGTAGTTTAGCCTTGGAATTTGGGGTGGGTTTTACTTGTTCCCGTCTGCTGTTCCACACACACTTGTGGTGTGCTGTAGTTAAGTGCTTTAAAAATTAATGTGAAATTTCTGTGCCTTCCTAAGTGGAAAAAAAGTAGTGGACAGAAATCAAGCTGACAGTGGGGAGAGATTAGCAACAGAGGGAAGAGACAGCAGAAGCAGATTCATTGCATGCCCAGGGAATTATCTGTTTCCCCTTGAGATGATTGTCAGTGCATATCGTAGGCTTTCACTCAAATGGAAAGGTTCTTTTCTAAGTGACAGAAACCGTATCTTCAAAACTGAAGGAAAATTCTTATGTTCTGTGATAGCTTGCTATGTAGAGAACCCCCCACTGCTAATACCAAAGACTTAAAACTTGCTAAACGTTCAGCTCTTGAAGCTTAACATTTTTTGGTGCCCATCAGCTTGCTGGTATGGTTATTTGCAATTGCACGGCTATATGTTTTTAAAATGATTTTATTACAAGCGTACTCACAGTGTTTCAGCACCTGTGCATCGTACCCTGTTTTACCTGTAGGCTGAAGTTTTAATTTTTGCATGGTACTCCTCAGTGAGCTTGGAAGAGTAAGTAAATCCAATATAAAGAAAGGTCCATTCTGTGTAAATTACTCCCTTTAATTGTGCACCATGCTAGCAGTCTCTGGGTTAAGGTCATTTATACAGCTGTCTTTCAGTCTTCCCTCCATTTCTGTGCTAGTCCCACTACGTGTATTGATCAGACTGAAAGCTGCTTGATGTCTGTGCCACTGACAGATTCATTTTTTCTAATACTTCCTGCCTGAATAAATCACTTCTGTCTCATTTCAGGACTCTGCAGACCGTTGGACCTTCCCATGCCAGGACCTATACGGTAGCTGTTTATTTCAAAGGCGAAAGAATAGGATGTGGTAAAGGCCCAAGGTACTGTGAAAAATTGATGGCACGGTATTAAAGTTTATTCAACTCGGGAAGCAGCCAGAATTACCAGCCATGAAGCTATACAGGTATCCAACTGGCCTCAGAAAAGGAAAGCTTTAGAGTATTTCTCAAGTTTCTCACTCAATTCTATGTATTCCTGAAGGTTTGATGCCTGTACAGACATTCAGGCACATAATTATACACGTGAACCTACCAACAAGTTGGCTGGCAATTCTGACTTCTTGTGATTCACAGAATGGAAAATACAGAATAGCTTCCTGATGATAATGATTTTAGCTTTAGTTTCGCTGCTAAGTTATGAGCCAAATTAAACTGCCAAGGGAATGGTGAAAGGTTCCCCATTCTGTGATGTTTAGCCGTGTAAATAAAAAAAAAAAAAGTGAATATTTTGGAATGGTTTATGAAATTACAAAGACTTAAACCATGAGCCCAAAGTACCTAATTTTATTTTTGTGGTTCAAAATAAAAATGTCATTTAGTTTTATAGCATCCACACCTCTGTGATCTTGTTCTCTTTTTTTCTCTCAAGTCAAAGCAAGTGCTTCAACAGAGACGAATGAACTAGAGTATTCTGTTAATGTTATTCATCTAAGTTTAAAAATATTATACAGGAGCTGTGGTGCTATTGCTTGCATATTTGTAGAAAGGTTGATATATTGTGCATCAGGGGAATTATGAGCTAATGATTATCTGAAAAGTTTTATTGCAGAGGAATAGACAGTGCTTCATTTTCTTGGAAATTGTGATTTATTCTGTATCACCTAGATGTAATGTAACATGTTTTTGTTTGCCTTTGACAGTATTCAGCAAGCAGAAATGGGAGCTGCAATGGATGCACTTGAAAAATGTAAGATTTTTGCTTGGGCAACAAAGAAAATTATTTATATTTTACTTCCTTAGACTTTAATGGGGTGAGCTGTGGGTTTTGTGGTGAAGAAAAATAGAGCATATACACTGAAAAACAGATCATATTTACTGAATGCTGTCAGCTTTTAAGCAACAGATTTGCCTATTAATGCTTTCTAGGCAACTCTGTGGAAAGGCGAGTTAGTATATTAATAACAGGTATTCTTTTCATGGGAGTTGTTGATCTCATGCAGCAACAGGAACTTAAAGGGAACCCAATGCAATATAGTCTCAGATTTTCCATGTTTTCAATATGTAAAGGGATAAGTTTGCTCCGTATCAGGTAGTGAGTTTGTTTCATGCTCTGGTTTGGGGAAAAGGAAATAAAATCTGACTTTGGGATTATGCAGTAGACTAGACTAAGGACTAGCATGCAGATCCTCAGCCCCATTTAAGTCAATGCTAGTCTGTTAGCAGCAGTTTATATCAGCTGAGCATTCAGCTATCTTTGCTGACTTCTTTCAAATTTATGCCCAGAAAATGCAGTGTGGGAGCAGCCTTCATTGCACAGGCAGCTCAGAGAGGAAACTAGTCAGTCTAGTTGAAATGCCAGCTGTGCAGGTACTGTTAGTAAATAGATAATGTGTTTTGTGCAACAGCAGCTCTCTGTGCAGGAGGACCAGGGGAAGTCAATTTTTACATTTCACTGAAAGGAAACACCTGCAGCTGCTCAGATGCCAGAAAATTTTAATCCCAAACTTCTGCATTGAGAAATATCAAGCCTTAAAACTTGCAGAAAACAATGCAGTCCCAGTAGTTAAGAATTGTTCATATCCATAGGATAGGCATATAGTTCACATCACCAGTAAATTTGATAGCTAGAAGACGTAACTTCCCTTTTTCATTGAATACCTGCTCCCCCCCCCAAAAAAAACACGCTGTATTTTTCCTTCTGACTATTTTTTCTTGTTTTATCATGTTTTGTAGAGACACGAGCTTCACATCTTATCATTCAAGGGCTTCACAGCTTTCTTGTGACATATTTTTGAATGTTGTAGAGTAATTCAGGTTGGGAGGGACAGCACCCCTCAAAGCAGAGCCAGCTTTGAAGTTGGGCTGTGCTGCTTCAGGGCCTCTTCAGTCAAGTTTGAGAATTTGTAGAGGTGGAGTCTCCGTAACCCTTTTGGGCACCTTCCCATACGTGTGTATCTTTTAAATGAAGCGGAGGGAAGATTTATTTTTTATTCATTTATTTTTATAAAGTAGTTAATTTCAAGCAAAAGTCATTTTCATGTACTTGTTTATACATCCACTGGCTCTGATTTTATTGCATAAATTTCCTTCTCCAAATCATAAAAGGATTATTAACAAGCAGGCTGCTACCAAGCAGTTTTTTAAGGAATTATGTTGTAGGCACTGTGCAGAAAATACTATTTTCACTTTATGGCACACATGAGCAACAAAATCTCCCAGAACTCCATTAAACACAAAGCACTGGAGTTTTAAAAAACAACAGCAATTTAAAAACAATTTCCTTTTCCTTAAGTTGTTTTCTGTTTTACATAAATAAATCTTCCAGTGCCCAAGTTCCGAATAACTGATGGATAAACCTTTTATTCATGTAGTACATAATAAAAGCACAAATTTCAGCAGCTAGTAAAACACAGGAGTGGGAAGCCATTTGACTGTAATAGGAACTCCAAGGCTTCTGCACTGTCGACTTGACTTCACCTGAACAAATCTATAGTGCCTGGGAGCGGAAAGGAGAATTCCTCTGGGGAACAATCCCCCTAGATCTCCACTTTTCCTTGGGGGCAAGGGGCTCCCACCGATTGCCTCTCTGGAGCTAACTGCAGAGAAGAGCAGGCTTTTGCTGAGACACATCCCGGGCCTGTTTATGGCTTTACAGGTCAGCACAGTGACCTTTTGTGTTGGTCTCAGACACAGAGGGGTGGCCGGTGCTGATCCAAGCACTCGGCCGCTGTGCGATCCCAGCAGGATCTGCTGCGGGCTCCCACATTCCTGTGGTTTTGGTGCACATTTGCAGCACCTTCACAGGCAGAAAATACTGTATCCTCTCAGCAGTGCAGTTAGCAAAGAGCAGTTCAGGCCACTTAGACAAGCTGATTCTGTAGGCTCAGGTCTAGCTTGTCTAGACCTAAGCCTCAGGTCTAGCTCAGTTCTAGATGGCAGCACATGGACAGATGTCTGTCTGAAACCATCTGAAGTCATCGCCCTCCCTTGGCTGTTTCTTCAGCTTTGTCCAAGTTGCTTTTTAGACTTCACTCATGCACATGCCTAGATTGTGCTAGATAAATCTCCATACTAGTTTGTTGTAGAGCCATAGCTTTTCAAGAATGGATTTTACTGCAATCCGTTCTTCAGCCCTATTCTTCCACCACTAGGAACCCTGCTGTAGAGCAGGGTTTTGCATGGTCTAGAACAGTGATGATGATGGGAACATCTGCATCATGCTGGAAAACAGCAGTTCCTTCTTTTTGCACAGGAACAAGGGAAGGAACCTTGTTAGATTATTGAAAGTAATCTCACATGCATTTTTTTTAGTATTGAGCACTTGTTGCTAAGGGAACAGAATGTAAAATCTAGGTTATACCTGGCCATGTTGCTATGCCTGAATTTTATATTTGTGCTTTTAAGAGTATTATATTCGGCAGTGCTTTGTAGCATGAGAAACATCTAGAAACTGAAGTCTTAAAGCACAGAGCCCAGGATCACTGTTAGAGCAGTGTTTTAAGTGAGTAAAAATGACGATAACATTATTCCCTTGCCAAACTCCTAACCTTTTCAAAGTAAGAAAGCAAAATAAGGGCTGAGCCTTTCTCTGTGTTACCAGTTTGTTTATTAATGTAAAATATTTCTCCTTGTGTCAGATAACTTTCCCCAGATGGCCCATCAGAAACGGTTCATTGAACGGAAATACAGACAAGAGTTGAAAGAAATGAGGTGGGAAAGAGAGCACCAAGAGAGAGAGCCAGAGGAGACTGAAGAAGCAAGGAAATAAAAGGAGGGCACGGAAGCAGTGGCATATTTACTTACTTAATAACTCTGACTGTGGCCTATGGAGACCCAACCTACTTTCTTGCTGATGATGAATGAAGGGTGCCTGTCGGTATCAAATACAAAATCTTAACCTCTTCTTAAAAAAGTGTGTGTATATAGAGAACATTTTGGTTTTAAATGCGAGTTTGTTTTATTTTGTTTTTTCTCCTCTGAGGTTTGTTTTTAAGTCCCTTTAATTTTTATGGAAAGTTGTGGGATTATTCTTCCTGGTTTTAATGTCGTTTGAAATAATAAAATATTAATTTCAAATATCTGTAGGAAGAAAAGTCTGCTATGTTCAAATGCTGTTATGCGATCAGCAAAGTCATGGCATGAGCTCGTCTATGGAGGAAGAAAGTGCTATGAGGGTTAATTCAGCAGAGCATTGTAGAGTGTATCTCACCCATGTCTTGCAGCTATATGTAGCTCTTGACTCCCCTAAAGCAGAGTCATAAACTTCTGGTCAGTGGATTGGTATAACAACTTCAGCACAGGAAATACTTTTCTTTTAAGCAACGGAACTAGGATTCCACCTGTAGAATGTCCCGAAGGTTGGAGTGTTATTGTTAGTTATTAGTATTTCAAACGTCTTGAAAGGGACTGGGGGTGGAAGGAAACCAAGGCAGTTGTGAAGCACTGGGAATGCTCATAATGTGCTGAGTTTACAAGTTTTGTGTCATTCTCAACTTCTTTTTTATCACACTGATGCTGACTTTCATTGGGTTTCTTTGAACATAGTCAGTGTGGTCATGCTGTATTCAAGACTTCATACAGATGCTGTTCCAGATAGCTCCATTGAAAGCTGTTTATATCCATATAAAGACAGTTTGAAGATTATATAAAGTCTTGAACATCCAATTCTGCTGCATATGGTTCTACATATGGGCAGCCAATGTACATTGCCCAACTGCCTTGATTTTGAAATCTTTAGACGAAAAGACACCTCTTGGAGAAGATTTAAATCTTAATTTGAAGCACCAAGCAATGGACCATCCACTGTGTCTGTTGGTGCAATTCGTCCACCAATTACCAGCTTTATTGTGGACATTTGTGCGTGCGTTTTTTCTGCTACAAGCCATTTATTTCTGTTACTCTATTTTCCACTACCTTTAAGAGTCTTATTCTCATTGTGTTCTGCCTGGAAGGTGGTGATTTAGGGTAGCCAAAGTCATCTTGAAATCTTCCATTTTCTGAGGAGGGAAACATGCAGTTCTTAAAGCATTTTATTTTCTTCCTGCTTTGGATACTTTTTGGTGGGTCATTTCTTCTCTTCTAGTTTGAATAGCGCAGATGGATTTGATGTGACATCAGGTATCTTAATGAGCATGAGTCTTGCCAAGAAAACTTTTGCAGGCTTCTGGAAATGTTGGGCACAAGGACCACCCTGCTCAGAGCAATGGTTTCTAGCACTAGTTTCTAGTACTGGCTGTTGCAATTTGATGGTGGGAGGCCAATTTGGTAGGAGATGAATCCTCTTCCCTTCCAGCTTGATCCTCGATGGTTAGAGAGACTGGGGGTGGCTGGACTCACCTCTTTATAGGGATACCAAATACTGTGGTAGCTATAGGCCTGACTCTGGCAGTACCAGATTCAGTCTGTTGACTGTAGGTCTGATCGCCTTTAAAACAGAATTGAGTTCACAAATAGTTTTATCAGCTATAGGCCCGACTACCAAGCAAGAGTCTAGTTCACAAATGGCACGATTTATTCAAATGCAACCTTTACAAAGCAGGTTTCAGATACCAGTATAAGAAATTCTCTAGTACAGCGTGGAGTTTTCAGCTAGTGCCTAATGCGCAACCATCACTCACCCGAGGGGAGGAAAGAGGTTCAGCCCATTGACTGATCCAGAAGTTATGATGGAGCCTTCCCTCTCCCCTCTTCCTTCTTTTCCCCTTCCCTGCTATCTCTCTCCTTAGTTCACCTTTTATATATATTCTTTTACATTTAGGTGGATCTTGAGTGACTCTAGTCATACATACGTTCATCAGTGATTAGTTTAAAAAGTCTTCCGATTTAATTGAAAATCTAGACGGCATGCTTATTGAGGAGGAGTTCTTCCTTGCAAGTGGGTAACTTCTAGGATGGCGTTGTGTATTGGTAAAATAATGAGATGAGAATGAGGAGAAGTTTGAGCAAAGTCCATTAGAAGGGACTGATTTGCCACCATTGTTGGCCCAGGATCAAACATCTTATCACACTGTGTGGCTTATCACATGCATGGTAGGACCAGGTTGCCACCTCTGCAGGGAGTACAACAGAGTTTATCTGCGGTGTCTTCACTCCATCTCATTCCACTTCACTCCACTGGCTGCAGGCACCATCAAGTTACCACCTCTGCAGGGAAGCCAACCAAGTTTGGCCAGGGTGTCTCCATTCTGCTCCGCTCTTCGTTTACTCCCATTAGTGTGTGCTAGGAGGGCAGACTGTGTTCACAGATTCACAGAATATTTAAGGTTGGAAGGGACCTCTACAGATCATCTAGTCCAACCTTCCTGCTCAAGCAGGCACACCTAGAGCATGTGGCACAGGGTGGCATCCAGGCCGGTTTTGAAGACCTCCAGAGTAGGAGACTCCACAACCTCCCTGGGCAGCCTGTTCCACTGTTCTGTCACCCTAACAGTAAAGAAGTTCCTCCTCACCTGGAGACTAACTTCCTGTGCTCCAGCTTGTGGCCATTACCCCTCATCCTATCGCTGGCCACCAGTGAGAACAGCCTGTCCCCTTCCTCCCTGCATTCTCCCTTCCTGAACTTATACATATTAATCATATCCCCTCTGAGCCGTCTCTTCTCCAGAGAAAACAGGCCCAGCTCACTCGGCCTCTCTTCATACGAGAGATGTTCCATTCCCTTAATCATCCTGGTTGCCCTTCTCTGGACCCTCTCCAGAAGCTCCACGTCCCTCCTATACTGGGGTGCCCAGAACTGAACACAGTACTCCAGGTGCGGCCTCACCAGAGCTGAGGAGAGGGGCAGAATCACCTCCCTTGACCTTCTGGCAACACTCCTCCTGATGCAGCCAGGATCCCATTGGCCTTCTTGGCCACGAGGGCACACTGCTCACTCATGGTTAACTTAGTGTCAACCAGGACTCCCAGGTCCCTCTCCGTGGAGGTGCTTGTTGCCAAGTGTGGTGTGTTGCCAAGATAGTCATGGAGAAGTAGGTTCCATACATACCAACCACCCTGGCAGTGGTGACTATCTCTCACCTCAAGCAAGCCTCTGTAATGCCTTAACTTCTGTTAGGACCTGGTTTTTCTCTAATTTCCCCTTTCTCAAGCAAAACTCTCACGCTGGCTCAGCAGTTTTCCAAAGTAATTTGCAGGAAGTGTCAAAAATGATCTCTGACAGCTCTTTCTTGTATGTGTCCAAATAAACAGTGGTGTTGCAAAAATTAAGACTACAGAAATCTCTTCCCAAATTTCAATTTCTGAGCTAATCTGTACCTGCATTTTCATAAGCACATTTTTGTACACGTGCAGTGTGGGGCATGGTTAAGGGTGTTTTTGAAAGCTTGACCACAGCACTACCTCCTTTCTTCCAACTTGTGGAATTCCTTTTCTTAACAGATTGATGCTTTAAATCCATTTCAGAGGGAAAGAAAAAAGAAAAGAAATCTGTAATTTGGAGAGGACACTTTTGTTCTCTAAAACACAGAGGAAAGGAATAAAAAAAAACAATGGAAAAGGCAAGGAGCTGCTCTCTGCTGGATGCTGATGTTCCCTGACTCTAGAGAAGTGATTGCAGCTTCTTACAGCTTCAAACATTTCAGCTTTTTGTTTACAGACTGAAGAGCAGCAGCTTAAAAAACAAGTAACAACCATTTATCCCGTTTCCACAAATCCTTTCTTTCAAATCCTTTCATACAATTGCCCATCTGCTTCTAGCAATAGGCTGAACCTGTGCATTGATGGAGGGTTATGGCAGCTATGTGCACCATTTCCAACCTTAACTGTGATCAGATCCATGCACTTAAATAAAAGCAGTAACGACTGAATTTCCAGATGTATGGTCCCTACAAATTTCTTATTTATGTAACAATTGGAATACCCCAGTGCAATTCTTGGGTCATAATTTGACCCAATAATGTAGAGGTCATAATTTGAAATTGCTTTTGTTTTCCCTCTGTACTGTTCAACTTTTCAAGTGCATAAAGTATTGTTATTCATAAACTTTTGCATAAAGACAGATTGCATTTTTCAGATAATGCTGTTGGGGAAGGAATGAATCCAAGACACTTTTCTCTCAGCTCTTCTAGTAGATGCAGAAATTAAAGACTGACTTTAAAAACGATTACTGTATTCTGATACTACGGTTAACAGATCTTCTACTAGAAAATGTAAAAGATGACCACTTTTCATGTCTATGTTCTATTTTCTATTTACCAGTTGCAAAATAAGAGCTAAGAATATTTCCTGAAGAAATCTCATTTTCCTTGTCTTGGAGAGCAATAAACTAAAGGAACAGAAAAGAAATTAAACCAGCTAAAATTTTACTGAAAAAGCAGTGTTTGTGAGTATTCTTCATCATTTAGATGTAATCTAGAATGCCTAACATGAGCATAATCCTTATAACACAGTAAGGAGTAATAGTGTTTCTTTGAATCGCCTTAATGTAAAAATAGTTGCCTCATATTAATCAAGAAAAGAATTGTTTATGACTAGACAACTTTAATTTTTGGAGGGGAAAGAGGGGGCATGTGAAGATACCTCTGGTTTTTTGATACATTTTCAGGTCCTTGTTTGCTTGCCCTTGAACCTGATCTGGAGTTCTGATTCATGATCTGCTTATTTGCTTTGGGTACAAGCAGGTAAACAAAGACGGACTCTTCTGTGGAGCCGTGGGCCCTCCTTCAGAAGTGCTTCTTTGGGGAGGTTTTAATGTGCATGTGTACAGAGCCCTGAATTGAATTGCAATATATAATCTAGTTCATTTTAATTAGGAGTTTTAATTGAACATATAAAATTCAGATATTTTACTTGCAGGGCAAGTTCACTAGGTGAGATTTTAGTTTTCTGTATTATTGAACAATGATTCAAAGAGAACCTTTGACCGTAAAGCTTGTACATATTTTTGCTCCTGAATTTTCCAAGAGAGACTGATCTGATTATACAGCTATGAGTTTAAATGAATTAGGCATTTCACTTGTAAAGCTGTCTGTTTGGTAAAAGTTTACATAAGGGTTTTAGGGATCCCTACAAGGGCTTAGGGAGTTGAT